CACACACACACACACACACACACACACACACACACACACACACACACTCTCTCTCACACAGAGTGGTGCTGCAGAAAGGTTCTGGTTTAGAGCTTTTTTAAAACATGCACTGGGATGTGTCATGTGTATACTGTGGCGCTCCTGTGGAGGTCAGAGAACAACTATAGGGAGTCAGTTCTTTCTAGCATGTGGGTTCACTGGATCAAACCCAGGTCATGGGGCTTTGTACAACAGGTGATTTTTGTTTTTGTTTTTATCTACAGAGTCATCTTGCAGACTCTCCATTTGGAGTTCTTCGGAAAGAGTGGGGTGGAGGGTCTGCAGGAGAGGGTATCTTCAAACCCCAGATGAAAAAGTGGATGCCCCTCAATTACAGATTTGTCTCCCTCTTGATTTAATCTGTTAAGCTGGCTTGCCACATTGCCAGCTGGGGCCTGGGGTAGGGCTGTTATCCTGAAAAAAAAAAAAAAAATACAGCTCTGAATGCCACAATCCTGAATGTTGAAATCCTATTTTTTTTTTTTCAGATAAGAGCTCATGTGGCTAAGGCTGGCCTTGAACTCCTGATCCTTCTGCCTACTAAGTTCTAGAATTACAGATGTGTGCCACACACTCAGATAATTACATGATGAGAAGAAGACTTGTTCGAAGCACATTAGAAAGTGACAAAACACTTCCAAGGCCACTTGACTTCACACAACACACATCTTGGCAAGCTGAAACATCCGAGTGTAGTAACAACCCTCACAGATGTAACAGTCCTGAAAAGATAAATGGTGTTCATAAAGAAATAGGCCGAAAGTCGAAATGCATAAAGAGTCATCACTGAGGCTGGCTGAGCACATCCAGCCTCACCGCTGCAGACAACTGAGAAGCTGTGGGCAGAGACTGGAAACGTAGCCCAATGAAGAGCATTGCCTATCTAGCTTGAAGCTCCAGGCTAGGATTCAAAACCATGGTGTGTGTGTGTGTGTGTGTATGTGTGTGTGTGTGTGTGTGTGTGTGTGTGGTGGTAATCTAATTGTATTGAAATATTATTTTGATTTGTGTTGAAATATTAATTTGATTGTATGTTAATAAATAAAGTTGTCTGGGGGTCAGAGCTATTAGAGCCATAGCAAGAGTGTGGCGGTGGTGGCACACGCCTTTAA